CTATATTATCAATAAAAGATAGTTGTTTCAGGAGTAGAATGAGTTGAGAGATAGTCAAGGGTATAGGTAAGAGTTACTTCAAGATAGAGAGCCAGTCAGTTAGTGTGTTTTCTTGAGTTTTGTTTTACAAGTAAATTGATTTTACGTTAGTCCTACTACAGCTATAGAGATTTGAATGATATTTGTAATATAGGCTACAACCACAACAATTTAACAAGTTAACAGAAACATTAGCCTGGATTTTGAATTATTTTCACCAGATAATTTACAAGAACTTGCTAATGAAAGAAGAATGTTACAACACTAATGTAAGAAGTTGAGCATCGTTTTGATTAAAATGGAGTTTTGACTAAACACCAGCTTTCACTTAACTTTCAAGATGACCACAGGGGAAATGAGTGGAATAGGTAACCTGCTAAAACAACAGAAAGAGACAGAGCATTTAAAGAAGAACAAGAAGAAGAAACAGATAGAAAATTAAAAAAAAAGACCTGGAAAGAACAGAAAAATAAGAGGACCAAGAAGAAAGAGACAGAAAAATAAAACAAGATCAAGAGGTAAGAATTTAAAGAACTAAAATTAAAAATAAATCTAATTGAAGACAAGATCAATGAAGCTATTGGAGATGCACAGAAAGATTGTAACAATAAGACTGAAGAAGTATGTAAAAGTTTTAATGATAAAATAGAAGATGTACAAATGGGCATCAAAGAAGTCAAAAGCAAAGTACAAAAAGACATTAATGAAGTAGAAAAATGCATCACTGAAGTAGAAAAGAACATTAATGACAGAATAAAACTCTGTAAAAGGAATTATTAAATGCAAAGATTAGACCAGCCACACTTCTTTCTGCATTTGCTGAAGAATTACAATTGAAAACACCATGTTTTATGAAATGAAATAGGAAAACTTGTTTGGTTTACACCCTTTACCACTACTGCTGTAGCACATGACCTTTACAGTCCTTTCTCGACTACTCCAGCCATGATACTATGAAGTTGAGTTTGAGAATTTAGTTAGTCAGTTTAACCTTGGCCCATAGAAAAACCAATGCACTATGAGCCAAGGTGTCACGGGAGTCATAATGGGCTCTGCTTGAAATCATTCCCATAGTGAACAACAAATGATCCATCTCACTACTCATCTGAAAAGGCCAACTTTGATAACATTACTTTCCAGTTGAGACCCATAATAACTATCAAGTGTTGGTAGCTGCCTTATTCAACAGATTTGGATTTGGCAACAGAACTAAGATCAATTAAAGTTGTAGATAAACTACTAAAGGTGCCATATAGAAATTACAGGAGTATTAGATCCCGTAGTACTGAAACATCAATCCCTTCTATCAATAGTGTAAAAGTGTTAGTTAAACAGCTGGTGATACAGAACATAAGATATAAACCACAAGATAACAGATGTTTTAAATGTAATAACTTGAAGGGACATATTGCTAAGAATCGCAGGCTAAGGCCTTTGTCTTCAACTTCATCTGGTACAATAAACTAGAGCTAGTGGTGAAACACACAGTCAAAATGTGCATCCACCAAGGAGAACACGGAATCCCCCAACCTCTACATGTTAATAGTCTTTCTCACTGCATATGTTTTGTTAAAACTCTCCTATCCAATCACCCAGGTTTATCTCTTCTCTAGTATAACTTAGGTCTGAAGATAAAATATTTTTCTTCTACATCTCAAAAGCAGTTCCTATTCTATGACCCCCTCCCCCAACTACATCATACTGAAGCATTTGAGTCTTACGAGATTTTCAAATGTTTCAATGAGCGAAAAATATAATTTTATAAAGTTCCATGTTTGACATGCATGCATGTCATATGAAGAAGATATGTTAGATATACACGACTGTTCATTTTAAGTTTAATACAAGTGTATTATTTAGTTTATATTATGCAAGCATTAAAGTAAATTATTTTCAGAAGCAATAGTTATGACATGTTTTCTGACATAACTGATTACGAACTATTTGTTGTGAATTGATGTCATGTTACTCGAACCTTCTGTATTTTTCTTGTTGCTTTAAATGAGTATTGTTACATCATAGCATCTTTTAGTTTGTAGAAAGTTCTAGCCCTCAGTTGGGCAATGTATATTTCTAAGGTGAACGTTTCACAGTTTGTATTGTAACAAGAGATAGAAATAATAATTCGTCTTGTTAATTGGGTTCTAAAGTAATTGAACCAGTCTGTGAGGACTTTTGACATAAAAGAGAAATATTTAAAACTCTGGATATGACTGTGGTAGCCCACAGAGTAATATAAGTGAACTTATCAACGATTCTATTGTGATAAAGAGTAGAGAAGAAATAATTTGTTTTGTTGGTTGGGTTCTAAAGTAACTGAATCAGCTTGTGTGGACATTTGTTGAAAAAGAGAATTATTTAAAGCTCTGGTTTCAATTGTGGTGATGTAAAATTTTTTTTTTTACATATGAGCTTATGATGACCTGCAAAAAACTAGATTTTCAGTATTTGAGGCATAGATTAGTACAGGAGTAGAGAAAGCACAGATACATAACTTGACTCAGCAGAGAGGGGAGTCAGTCAGAGTATTTGGACAATAGCTACAAGAATTAGGTAACAGACTGCGCAGACACTCGAACAAATTGATGATAGAGGATACTTTAAAGTCAGACTATGAGCGAGGTTTCATCAGTAATGTAATGAGAAGGAATGTAAATGAAGCACACACACCTGATGTGACTTTGCTAGATTTAATTGAAGTAGCTGCATGAGAGGAGCTACACAAAAACATATATACAAGCCCCAGCACTCTACTATAAGTATAGTGAATAGTAGTAGAAACTACAAAACAAACTGGTGAAACAAGCAGCAGAATAAACTCAATGGCTTACAATGTCTTAACTGTGGTAAGATAGGACACATGGCATAAAAACTGTTTTAGGAAACAGAAAAGAAATGAACAGAAAAGCCTCAAACTTTCAGAAGGAAGTTCCCTAGAAATAATAGTAGCTCTAAGTTTGCTGTAGAGTATGGTTCAAAAGTAAAGGTAATCCCGTCAGTTTGGAACTAGTGAATAAAAATCTGACATTGTTAGGTAATGTTTGGAAGGAATTTTCTAAAAGTATTTTAACTTCCATAACAGAACATCCTGTTAAAATGCTACACAAGTATAGTGTACAGATGAAAGTAGGAGACTTAGAGATTGAACACTCGTTTTACATCTGTAAGCAGATAGACTTAGAAACAGATGGTATTATACGGCAAAATTTCTTAAGGGCTTACACCACTGAAATATCTCTTACCAGAGGTAGGCTATGCATTGAAACAGAGATCTTAAGTTTTATGAAAGGCTTGTACCTTCAGTCTTATGTGCTAAAGTTGTGACAAATGATACCTTCCCACTGACTAAAGTTAATAGTCAGACACTGAATGCTAACATCTGCAAGGCTAGGAATCAACAATCAAAACACAAAAGCACTGACACATGACCAAGTTAGCATCTTGACAAAGTTATTTTTATTGAAATGTTTAATTTTGGCAAAATATAATATTAAGGTTTTATTGCAGCTACATATTTTGTGTAAAAGACATTGCCTTGGACTATTCACTCAGACATTTGTTTAATAATTTTCTCTGTATGGTCTATCATACTACCACATTACTGACAAGCATTATTTAACATGTTAAGTCAAGTGTGACAAATCATCAAATGTATTTATCCATTTGCTTAATATACGTAAAATTAAGCTGTTCCCTAAATTTTAGTTTAGCTAGTGTTGTTCAGTAAAATTCTTTATTGTGACATGTCTCATGCCAAACCTCTTTACATTCGCCTAATGGCATAATTTTATGAGAATTATCTGATCCTCTAAGAAAATATGCCGTTACAAATAAACAGCAAATTCTATATGATTATATGTACCTGGATGTGAAGTAATCATATTTCATGAAATCTTTTATGTTAATGTCCCAGTTCACCCAAAAACTAAGCACCTTGCAAACTATGTAATAATTCCAAAAAGAAATATAATATAAGAGTAATGAACAATTGCCTAATTTTAGGATTGCCTGAACTAGTTAATTCAAATTAAAACCATTGGCCACCTTTGACAACTGAATCGTGACAAAGCCAAAGGTAGTAGACATGATAACAACGTTTTATTTCATTCTTAAGTATAGGATTTTTGTTCATTGACATTTATATATACATGATATAGTATGATTTTTGCATGAATGTCAACCAAGCAACATTAATATTAATCCATCATAACTAGTTGCTAGAGATAAAGTTATGTACAAAATCATAGATGACAAAAGTATACAGTGGTCCCCCTCCCCTACGACACCCCTCGCCGATGACTTCCCCGCAGTTACGACTTGTTCCCGATGCACTGTCAGTGTTTGCATGGTAATGTCCCCCTAATGAACGACATCCCCGCAGATGCGACATACGACCGACCCATAACGACCGATATCGGTGCTAACGGTTTCTCAGTTATGACTTTCTGTGCGAGTCATGACCTCTTTAATCAGTGGAGACTCTAAATTAAGAAATCAATAAATATATTTCCTGTTTTGTTGTCCATACATTTCATTTTATACTTTCAGTACATATACTAACAACTATATTAGGTTATACCTTTGTTGCTAAGCGACATGACACAAAAGCCATTGTGTAGTGTTACATGTGGTGTTAACGTAGTGTTACCAAAACGCACTGGTTTTTCTACACATCAGCAGTTGTTAATATAACTGATTTTTACCAATAATTATTCTATGAATACACCATGAATTCATTTCATGAATGTTCTTAATTTTGATTGGCTCACAAGGGAATTTACCGACGTTTGACTGCCTCGAATACACACTTCTACCTCTTTGTTTGTCAAGCTTGATTTCGCAAAATTTATTTATTTCAGTTATCTATAAAATGTACTATGGGGTGGGGGTGGTAGTACTCGCTCCATCAGTTTTGACGGGCTATATGCTAGTGCTATACAATCCTTGGGATATTCAGCAAAATGCCTGGAAAACGCAAACACCTCACTCTTCAGCAAAAGATGGAAGTCATCAAAATGCATGATAAAGGTGCTAAATGTGTACATATTGCCACAGAAATGCAGTGTGGAAAAACACAGATTCAAACGATCATAGCTAATAAACAAAAAATCAAAGCCCTCTGGGAAAGTGGTTCCAATGCTGCCATGAAAGTGACCAAAGTGAGAAAAACTGCCAATCATGAGCTCAATGAACAGGTGTTTGAATGGTTTTGCAATGGTCAATCGAAAAACATTCCAATCACTAGCAAATTAATCCAAGAAAAAGCAGTCATGCTCTCTGTCGAGCTTGGCCTTGATGATTTTTCTGTCACAAATGGCTGGCTAGATCGTTTCCAGAAACGGCACAACCTGTCTGGTGAGGGGGCGTTAGTCAATGAGGAGACGGTCAACGACTGGTGCAGCCGTCTAGAGAGCATGTGCGAGGGGTACAGTCTCAAAGATATTTTCAATGCCGATGAGACTGGCCTGTTCTATCGTGCTCTCAAGTCATTCGCGGTGACAAGTGCCACGGGGGCAAGAATTCAAAGGAGAGGATAGCCATGCTACTTGGCTGCAGTGCGACGGGCAAGAAACTCACCCCCCTCATCATCGGTCGTGCTGCCAATCCTCGATATTTCCGTGGCTATTCGACGTCTTCGCTGCCTGTCACCTACCAAGCCAACAAACGTGCCTAGATGACATCCACAATTTTCAAAGACTGGCTCCAAAAACTGAACAACAAAATGACTCTTGAAAAACGTAAAATCATAATGTTTGTTGATAACTGTGCTGCTCATCCTGCTATGACTTTGTCGAATGTAAAACTTGTATTTTTGCCCCCAAACACAACAGCTCATCTCCAGCCACATCCTTATAATGGATGAGGCTAGCACTGCTGCTGATCTGGCCGGCAAGGTCACAGTGCTGGATGCCATATCTTGGCTGAAGTATGCCTGGGACTGTGTGCAGGCTGAAACCATTCAGAAGTGCTTTGCACACTGTGGATTCAGCTTTGCCACAGCTCCCACGGCCTCTACTGATGCCACAGAGACGGCTCCAGCCGAACTGCTGCCACTGCTTCAGGGGTCGTCATGGGCAGATTTTGTTGAGTGCGACAACAAGGTCACGGCATTGACGGAGGTGTTTGGTGTCGTGGAAACTGCCCCTGAGGTCGAAGAAGAAACAGAAGCTCTAGCAGCTTCTCACATCTCGGCCCGACAAACTCTTTCACACTGGCAACCAATAACAAAAAACTTCTGGACATTGCCCTTGTGGGTTTGTCTGCTGTCGAACAATCAATATTCAAAGCATGCACAATATCAACTTACACAACTTCATCTTACATAAAGAAATCAGACAGTTTTGTTTGCTTAACACATGACACATCAAGAAAAAAAAAAATGATAAAAAAATATTTTCTGACTATTCATAGTGTTTCCACAGTTCACATTTTTCATTTAGCCTGACGATCGCTGCCTCTGACATTTACCTCTTAAAATGCAAAAATCTACGAAATGGCGAAAAAAAACCCCATAAGTTTTAGATGTTGAAATCAAACAATAAACACATTAGTTGTTTAATGTCACTTTATTCACATAAATAATCACTCTCTGCCTGTCCACGAATTTGGCACGAAAGGTGTGAAATCATCAATCAGTTGCGCTTGATTACCACTTGCCTCTGACCAAGGATGACTAGCCGACTGTAGGCAATGGCCCCATTGGCCCATCCCCTTCCTAACAACATCCCCACGGATACGACTTTGATAGACTGGCTGTAAGGTCGGTCGTTAGAGAGGGGGGGACCACTGTATATATATATATATATAAACAACTCTCATTTTTCTGCCAACATAGATCTAACTCATTTTGGGTAATCACTCAGCTTTATGGTAATTTGATAAATAAATAAACATGAGTAAATCAACTCATTGGTTCTAAATTGTTGCACTAAATGAAAACTTTTTGGGAAATTAGGTGTGTCTTGAAAACTGTGCTATCTTTCAGAATAAGCTACCCTGTTGGAATGTCCACCAAGCATTTTTGATACCCAAGGACATTCACCTTTCAATAAAACATACAGGTATTTCCCCCTTAGTTGGTACCAGTAACCAACTTTTAGAGGTCTGACTCATGGAATATTAGGTGTGAGCTGTGGTGTGGTTGTAAGGGGAGAAGGAGACCACAAAACAAGTGCTTAATCATTATAAATTACTTCTATAAAGAAGACAGATGTCCTAAAATGCCCTAAAAAATAGCCAGAAGTGTCCAAAAATTTTACTAAAACAATGTTCTCAAATCCTAAAAAAAATGAAAGTTCTGGGAGGCTTGCTGGTAGATGCTTGTGAACTTGATGAAGAGTTAGAGATGCCAAAAGACTTTGAACCAGATCCAGTAGGCATTCTAAGAAAAATGAAGCAGTTCACATATGAAGCAAAAGACAAACCAGTTCAGGACCCAAAACAAAAAATTTAAAGTAAGCTTCTATTTTGCTCTCCTTGATACTGCAATACAATCAGTTGAAGAATGATTTCAGCAGATATGTGAACTTAATTCTGTGTTTGGTTTCCTCTACAATATCTACAGTTTACAAAATAAGTCAACAAAAAAGCTAATGAAGCATCATCAATGCTGGAGATTTGTGCAATTAATTGCATGGTAACTACCAAAGTGTCTTACACCTCAAGATGTACTGAAGTTTGTTTGTGAATATAAACTGACAGACAGTGTTCCCAATATCTTCATTGGTCTCTGCATTTAGTGTAATGTTTCAAAATCATTCATTAATAAAGTATTAATTCTCATGAACAAGTTCACAAATGGAAAAAGACAGAAATACATTTTCTTTCTGACAAATAATTTTAGTTCTTATGAATATAGCAAAATGTCTGGTGGAAAAAATGGGAGAATTTAAAGTTTAGTATTTGACAACAGAAAAACATGCAAGGAATTTTAAACTCAACATATAATTTACAAAAAATGTAAACATCAAAAGGTTACGTGGAAAGACTAACTTCATATCACTGCCAACCATCTAGCAAGATGCAATTTTAAAAGTAATAACTATTCTAATCAGTTTCCACTAGTGCAAATCATTTATAAACTGAGTATTTTAAAAGGAAGATATGAAATAATATGTATATTTTGCATTAATTTCTACCTATTCTACTAACTACTTTTAAATTGTAAAGCAAATTGACGCATGCTGGAATTTGTATGCACATATGACAATCATATTTTCAATAAGTTTAGTTAATAAAAGGATATGATAATCCAATGACTGATAATGCATAGGTCAGTAAGACAAAAGTCAGTTGTAACTCCTTTTCTCTGAAATTTGCTGAACAGAATCTTTGAGTTTCATTTATGTATAAAGAAATCTTACTATGTCAAAAAACTGAACAGAAATAAAACACTCTTTTTTTAGATTTTGTAAAAGTTGTAATGTAAGAATAAATGCTTAACATTAATAAAATGAATGTAATACTTAATGAGATTCAAGAATTCTGTATTGTAATAAATGACCAAATTCTTTGGATCAATGCAAAATGATAATGTCATTTATGATATGTATATTATCTAACTTATGAGAATGAAAATAATTCTAAAATCTGTGACAGTTAATATGAAAAAAATGTATTTTCATTTGTAATATTTGTTAATTATTGAATAAAATTTTGAGAATTTTATAATATGTCTGATCTCCCCAAATTTCATTGGATCATATATATATATATATATATGTGTCAAATTTAGGTTCCATCTAAATAATCTCACACATAGACAAATGGATGAAAATGCATACTGTTAAGGAAGATGGTGAAATATTTAAAGCCTCTCTCTCTATGCTGATCATTTTTGATCATCCATCATGGCACTTTAAAGAGTTTATGCATTTCTTTGGATTCATAACACATTTATGGTTGGTTGACAGTCTGTCGATGAGCCAATTAAAGGGAGTTTCACATATTAATTTTAGTTAAGCATAAATATTGCAGAAGGCACTCTAGAACTAAGCTTTCTAGTACTAGTACTCATTCTCCAAGACTTTTCTCACTGGATTTGAACAAACTGTTGATAATAGAAATAGCAGAAATCTGCCAAATGGCAGTCAATTCTCATCCATGTTTAAAAACTTGGTAAAGTTGAACAGCAATGCAAAAAATGAAGCAACTTAATCAATTTGTTCTCTATAAATTTTGGACTTAATTACTCAAAACCAGAATTTGAAATTTTTATAATGTTCTTCAACCTCAAATTTTGGTATCTTTACAAAAATAGCTATATTGATAAAAGTATGAGTATTCCATTTTACATTCTTATATTGTTAAAAATGCTACTGTTTCTAAAAGCAAAGGTGATTTTGCATGTTTTGAGTTTGTAAAACTTCCATTGGATTATGTAGATACCATGGCATCACTACGAAAAAGATTTATAAAAAATGAGGAGTCAGCAGCTATGTCTGTGTCTTCAATTTCTGTGTAAGATGGATGAGGAGGTTCTCCACATGTAACTGACCAGGGCCTAAGTGACCATAAGATCCAGCACCATTTACGTAGGTCTCGGCAGCCACGATACACAAAAGCATTCATTACAGCTTGCAAAGGGTTAATTACAGCCTGATAACAATATACAGAAGTATTACAACATAATCAACTGAATTTCTAAACAATCATGTATAAAAGACTAAAGTTGAATATTTTTAGCTATCTCTATGACTTGTATATACAATTCAATAAAATGGTTACCTTTATCAAATATGTGCACTATTTCATGAAAGTTACATAATACTTGTAAGAAAACAAATTATTCAACAATTAATCATTCTTTAAACTGTTCAATACCAACATCATCAAAATTTTTGTTTTAGTGCTTAAAAGGACAACATTTCTTTACAATATTAAAAAAACATTTAGTTCTTTAAACGTGTTCTATAATTTCTCTTTCTCTTGCTTTTTATTAACTCTATCGCCACGGGTATTCTTTAGTGCATATGACACAAAGTTTTAGTGTCTTACATTCAAAAGTTTATGAAACTACATTTTGTTTATGTTATACCAATTAGTATAGCATAAAATCTTAGCTAATAATCCATATTTTAATAGTATATAAGTTTTAAGTTCTTAATTCTATAAGGCAATATTTAAAAAAAGTCATGAATTTCCCCTAGTATGACACATTTTCTCTAGGTATATTCTCTTCTCTATTTTATCCATCACCCCTTCAAAAAGTACAAAAATGTAAATTACTCCCTATAAAATCATCATTGCTCAGACAAACCATAATTTTTATAACCTTCATTTTAGTTTGGGTACAAAGCTATTGAACAAAGAATCAGACCCATCCTGCCACACCCACCTGTCATATCCCCTCTTTTAGAATTTGTTAATAGTTTATAGTTAATAGCTTAAAGCTACTTAGGATAAACAAATGTAGTTTCATGTTACAATTTAAAGTCATTCTCAAAAGAAAAAAGGGTAATTATATTTATTTAGATTTTTTTGGTGGTTACAAGGTTGGTGAAATTGACCAATCCCATATAGAGATAGGGTAGAGAAAATAACATATAAAATACAAAGATTTACTGAAAAAAAAAGCAAAAAACGTTTGAAATGTATTTAGGAGGTTTTAGAGATTACACAAAGGAAATCTGAGATCTTTGGGATGAAGAAAGTATTTTTAACCTAAACATGAAAATTACTTTGCACACATACTATAAAAACAAATACTCAATATTTTCTAGAAATAGGATTTTTGTATGTGAAGGACTTATAATGTTAACTGAAAGACTGCTTAATTTTCTGAAGATATACATACACATATATATTGAAAGTTAAAAATATTAAATTGACCAAGCCTGTGTTGAGAGAGTTAAACAATTTTAAAACGTTTTCATTTAAACAATAAAACTAAGTGAATAATTCAGTTATCTAGAAACATTTATTGTAATAGTATCAATAAACATTAATATCACTTCATATATTGGAATCCAGAGGTTTTGTTGACATTAGTGGAATACATAATAAATGAAAACATTTATGGCCATACTGAAGATACATAACATTTAAACTGACCTTTCAATCAACTTCTCTTTGTAATAAATCCATGTAACATACTTTATGTTACAGCACCACTAAAATAACACTTAAAATATGGTAACATTAAAAACATTCATTGTTGTGGGGCAAAATAAAAAGCAGATTACATGTTATTAAATAAAAGGTTCAGATGAAGAGTAGTAATTTAAGATAGTTTAACAATTTTTATGTCACTATAATAATAGACGACACCTTGATAAACAGTTTTCAAACTACCAGGGATGCAGAAGCTTGTAACAGTATGCTAACTAAATATATTGTTATGACAGCATAAGTCACGCGACAGTGGGAGCATGTGCGCTGGAGTTTTCGAAGGATCATGAATTTGCCCACCAGCTCGAGTGTGATCTAGATGCCCTCTTTTTTAGTATATATATAAGCCTGGCAAAAAAAGCCAGTGGCAGATAAATAATTGAGTCAAGCGAACAGTAGGCACCGTAAGTAAAGTGCGTGAATCACT